ATCAATTGTCGTTGGGTTTAGGCTCTGGTTCAAGAACCTTTCCTCTATTTATACTAAGTGTTTTATCTTCACTTCGTGTATATCATTACTTTGTATTATTACCTTTTAATTACCACGAATTTTATATTTTGAATGAAACAATGTCTATACGCTGTTTTTTCTCTTTATCAACCTTATTAGGATTCGTTTAAAGTCGATGAGACAGGTCGCTCCACGAACAATTTTATGCATAAAGCCGACTTAAAACTCATGCCAACCTTCCCCCCAATTCCTTCTGTCTACTATACTCGGATTAGTTACCCGCCCGATGCTTGCAAGATTGAGTCGCCTAATGCCCCTACACTCTCCTCCCATTCCAGCCTTCCACTTGAAGACACAAAAGACACAACATCCGACGCTTTTAGTCATATTTCAATGAGTCACAAAAGTGTTCTCGATATGTGATGATATTTTATGTTAATCCACTCTGTGCATTCAAAGCCTTATCATTCTATCATCTTATTCGGGAGTGGTTATAATTGTATAAATATCCAAGTTCACCTTGCTTATTCCTATTTTATTTATTTTGATGCGGAACCTGCTTTATCACGACCTTGGTTCTAATATAGGGTCTTATATTGTTATTGTTCTTCCCTTCTGTATTATACTTATTATATTCTTGACAAAATTGACAAGCACATGCTTATTTCGTCTTAAGCTCCCTTATAGAAGTGGGTTGACCTCGTTATCGCAACTTGGTCTTGTTGTCAGGGTGACTTAGTAGAACGCATCTAATCCAAAGTCGTGGACTCTCTTATTGTCTCAGAGATCCGTTTCTTATCTTTCTGGTTGATTGATTTCACTCGGTTCCAGTCCAAGTGTGCATTTCACTCAAACTTGAGAAATAGCGCCTGGAGTGAATAGCAGGTGTGATGAGGCCACACTAGATTTGCCACAAAAGGGCACACTTTGATGAGTACAATGTAAACGAGTGAGAAGTTGTGATAAAGCGGGATTTAGATAAGAGGGTAAAGAGTCGATAGAAAGGGCAGGACAGAAAAGGAGTGATAGTGTAACTGTTTTCGGGGGATTGACTTCACTTGTCTGTGATCAGTCGGTAGCTTGATGTGGAGAATGGCAAAACTCACTGAGGATGCCGGCGAAGCGTTCGAGAATGTACCAAGTCCATTATCTGATGCTGGGAATCATGAAAACTACTATGACAGACGACTTCGGACTAGGTGCGTTCCACTAAGTCCCCCTGACAACAAGGCCAAGTTGCGACGAGGTCAACCCACTCCTATAAATCGAAAGGAGACTGCGACCATACCAGAGGCCACATCATCTTGGTATTCATATCTTTAATTAGAATCCCTTGCTTGCTTGAGACAAAGATTGGAATACTTGAATTATGGTAAGAAAAAACGACGTACCGATTCCCAGTTCTTGGAGGTGGAACTGGAAAAAGTAACCTAAATGTATCTTGTAAACGGATATCCAGAAGAAGCAATAAAACTCAGCATAAGAATAATCATGAGCAGAATGGGTGAGGAGTGTAGGGGTCTGAAGCATAGGTAGAGGAAGATTTGCAGACATCGGCACGGGTATCACGTGGTATAAATGCTTGAATGTGGCGTAATCAGAGACGATAATTAAAAGCTCTTAAGCAGCCAGACAATGAATTTGATGCGCAGAAGCGACCAATTTTCAAGGGGAGTAGAATGGGGAACTGAATGAATGTTAGAAGCTTCACAAACTGTATCTGGAACCGGTGGTAAAGATTATTACGCTTAACTAAAGCTAATTTTAGCAACACCCTTAGGCAATAGTAAAGAAGTGAGCACAAGGTGGGGTGAATAGATAAGTAGGCCACATGAAGTGAAGTTGAGAAAAAGAAATGCAGTGCTAGAAGGTAGGACAAAAACAGGAGCGAGAACTTATGCCACAACGGTTCAACAGAAAATTGGTCGGGGG